ATCGGGCTCCCTGCTCGGCAGGAAGCCTGCTTCTCCCTCTCCCACTTCCCCTGCTTGTGTTCCTGCTCTCGCTATCTCTCTCTCTCTGTCAAATAAATAAATAAAATCTTAAAAAAAAAAAAAAAAGAAAATATCCTTTAACACACAGGGTTTCCAGCCATTAGGAAATGATTAAGTAAAAGTGGACACAGCTTCTTGATGAATGATCATTCATTAAAATAAATTCTTGAAGGGCTTGTAATAATATAAAAAAATAACAGAAAATAAAATAGTGATACTCAGAAAAACAAAGAGAAAGGCACAATATATTTTAGATTAAATTATAATCACAACTGTTAAAAATAATTATAGAGGCAATGGTTGAAAGGAAGTGTTATCAAATGTTAACAACAGTGGTCTTTAGAGAATAAGATTATGGGGTGACTGACTCTTATTTCTTCTTTCATTTCCAAATTTTCTCTAATGAGCAGGAGTTGTTTTTTGTTTTTTTTTTTAACATTTCTTTTTAAGGTGAAATTTTAAAACCAGAGGAGAGGAAAGAGAAGGAAGTAGAGGGGAAAAAAGGAGCAGAAAGGACCTTGAGCAAGGAAAGTTTTGTGGGCCAGGGAGGAGGAACTGTGGAGAGAGCTGCAGAGCAGGAATGAGAAGGTAAACCTCTGCCCTCGCTTTGACCCAGCTGAGATGGGTCGTTCCCAGCCACCCTGAAAATGACTTAATGTCTTCACATGTGAGGTGAGCACAGCACCCCAGCTTCTGCACTGAGACTCCGCTTTCCCACTGATGACTCCCAGATCACGTACTGCCACGAAAGCCTTGAAGAGAACCTTCAGTGACGCAACAAACTACAGCCCAAGGTGGAAGAGAAGTTCAAAGTCAGAGGACCCGAACAAGAACCTCAGTCAGTCCCCAGCTGTCATCTGGGAGTCCGGATGATGCCCGGTTGTCAACAGTGGTATCTATTACTATAATAAATATGGATATATAGAATATTATTTACCATATAACGTGGAAATGTATGTGTCAATACATATTAATCATTGTATAAAATTCCAATGCCCTTCTTATTCCATTTTTAAATTCTTTAATGCAAGCCTGGCTGCATGAACCTGGTTGGGTAGTGGCAAGTTGCACAACCTGAGAGAGAATTCAAATCCAGATTATATGATTCGTCTATGTGACTTTTACCTTTTAAAAGAAAACAATCCATCTAGCATAGACAAGATGAGTCAGGTGTTTTGGAAAATGTATTGGCTTTCTCCAAGCCAAGACACGGACACCAAGGTTCCCAGGTGTGCAGAGAAACAAATTATACCGCTCCCCCCTCTCTTTCTGGATGCTTCCCTCTTGCCAACCAGCGAGCACAGGAGGCCCGTGTGTGTGGTCAGCTCAGTGCCCTGGAGTCCGCGGGCAGCCTCTGATACTTTCTTAAAGTCCTTCCCACAGGCCAAATCATTTACCCAACTCCCACTGCTTACACTGCTTTTGCCAAGGCGGAGACCTGTGAGAAAGACGGAGGGTGTCCCAGCTGAAGAATTTACAATACACACACACATTGCAAAATAGCGGTCTGAACCCTGAAGCCTCTTACTCCATAGCCTTTAGTAGACTTTTCCCGAAAATATAAAAATACTAACAGACGAACAGCCAGCCTCCCTGTCCCATCCCCATCCACAGCCCAGTGGGCCTTGGGGCAGCTGGATGGCTTCAGGAGTTTTACTCCATGAAGCCAGTTCGACAGGACCCATCATCAGGAAAGGTGGTCAAAACCTCTGAGCGGGCCACTGGGTGCTGTGGGGTTGGGCTTCTGAGTGTGGCTGAGAACACCACGGAGAGGCCCCCAGGTCCCTCTGCACCGCCTTCCCTGCATCAGACCTCTTTCCTCTCTTGGCTGAGCTCTGATGTGCTACCTGCGAGCATCCTCCATCAGATGCAAAAAAGAGAGACCAGCAGCATCTTGTCAGCGATAAGGATGCAGGCTTTCGTTCTGGAGTCGAATTCTTAGTGAGTGGGTTATGTGGCCTTGAACAGGTCACTTTTTTTTGTATCCTCCTCTGACACTGAAGGGGATAGCACCTACCCTTTAGCACTGTCATGAGGATTAACTAGTGTGATGAATATAACACGCCTAGTGCACAGCCTGGTAGGTGAGGGATGCTCAGGACGGAAGCACGAGGAGATGGAACAAGAGTTACAGAGACCAGCACAGCTCCTGGACACTCATGACCCACAGTCATTTCTTATCTGCTGTAAGGAAATGTATTTAAGGGTATCTCATGAGAAATCTTGCATGTCTTGAGGACTCTGACACTTTGAACTTCTCAAGACTATACTTTTATTTTAGTTAGGAATTATCTTCAGTAGATGCTAACAATTCATGCATTTCCATTAGAAAGCCTGGGTAGGGGCGCCTGGGTGGCTCAGTTGGTTAAGCGTCTGCCTTTGGCTCAGGCCATGATTCCACGGTCCTGGGATCAAGCCCCGCATTGGGCTCCCTGCTCAGCACGGGTGTCTGCTTCTCCCTCTCCCGCTGCCCCTCCCCCGCTCATGCTTTCTCTTTATCTCTCAAATAAATAAATACAATCTTAAAAAAAAAAGAAACGAAAAGAAAGGCTGGGTAATTTAGAAATTTCTCTAAAAAACAAGCCTGTTAGTAGCACATAATCAACTATGACATGGGTGACATGCGCTTGGTATTATTTTGGCTTTAGGAGATTCTATAATTTTTCTTTATGTTTCTTCATTAGATTAAAATACAAATGAACATGCAACCATGTCAAGAATAACTTCTTCTCATGTGCGGGATAAGAGACTTTGAATTTCGCTCAGGGACCATAGGATTTCAAATCCAGAGGACTCATGCATCAGGAAGGCCAACTCACCAGCGTGAGCCTTGAGTATATGTGTTTTCAGCCGGCTGTTATAGGAGGACTTGAAGGAGCAGAGTTTGCACCGGAATGGTTTATGGTGTCCATGGTGGGTTTGCATATGGCGATCCAAGCTTGATGGAAAAGAAAAATATAAAGGAGAGAGAAAAACGACAGGATTAACAATTACATACATTTTTCTCCCTGCCCTTTTCCAGCAATCCCACTTTGAAGCTGTTCAAAGTCATTTTGTTACTTCCCAAGGATGGTGCTTACCCAAACCAAAAACAACAACAAAAATGACAAGAGTGGTCGTGCCTACTCGAAAGGGAAGGGAGGCTCAAGGCAGGAAAAGATCAAGAGCCTTTTTGGATTGAGAGACATGGCAGTGGGAACAGGTCATAGTAGACTCTCATTTTCCCTTCCCTAGAAGCACGTATAATCGGAAGAGGGCATCCAAAGAGAAAAGATGAAATACCAGGGAATGCAAGTTTTCTGCCAAGTTGGTGAGGAGTGCCTATCAAATAGTCCCTTAACTTATTCCTCCCCACCAAAAAAAGGCATTAGAAAAATTTTGCATTTAAAAAGGGCTTTCTTTTTAAATCTCAATTCTGCATTCGTGGTGAAACCTCAGGAGGGGAAGGGAAGTTTCAAAGTAGTTGAGCTCCATGCAATGGGCTGTCACGTCTCTGTCTTTGTAAATATGGAGGCAACGTACAGATATGTTTCAAAGAAGTCCTGTGATCCAAAGGCCACTCATCTCTTCTGATAAACACCGCAATGTTTGCTGTACCTCAGTCTTCCAGAGCAACTTATAAAGAAGTTATTTAATTATGGTGAGCTCCCAGTATTTCATAATAATTACTAGTCTAAAAAAATAATAAATCTCCCAAACAAGGTGTGGGAAGGAGTTCTAATTTGTACCGGTACCCCAGAGAACTAGACTCCATTCTAAATGACTCATCTGGGAATGGTTGCTGCTTACCATTTAAACATATAATGTTCTCCTGAGCTCCAAAGCAGCACTTTCAGTCGCCTCTGGACATTTCCCTCTGGGTGTCCTTTAGCTTTCTTAAACTCAACTCAACTCAGCCCTAAACAAAACCATTGGTTTTTTCCCCTCCAAAAAAGAAGGTTTTCCTCATCTCCTTGCTTCTACAAAGGACACCACCATTCTCAGTCAACCAGATCGAACAGCTAGGTGTCATTTGTCCTCTACTTTGTTTCTCATCCCTCAGCCCCTACATTAAAGTCAGTTTTTCCAAATCATGAAGATCCTGCTTCCTTTAACCATTCCCAAAGTTCCATCCTAACTCCTTGGATCACCTACTATTATTGCTTCCTAATTGGTTTCTCCCATCTTTTTTTTCAACTCAAGAGCATGAGCTATGGCGTCAGACGGCCTGGGTTCAAATCCCAGCTATTGCTTATAAACTGCGTGGCCTGGGCAAGTTACATAAACCTCCTCAATTTTCTAATCCACAAAATGGAGACGGTAGTGGGCGCGTACCTCATAAGGTTGACTTAAGGATAAAATGAAATAATACTTGAAGGTACTTTGCGCACTGCGTGACACATAGTAAGTCTCAATAAATGTCAGCAATTATGATGACTACTCATTCCAGAGTCTTTAGCCAGTAATGTAAATTACAAAGTCTTAATTCCGCATTCAAAGACTCCAAATACAGTCTCTACTCAAGTCTTTGAACTTTGTCTTCCACTATTCTTTTACATTACAACTTTAAAGGTTAGTCAGACTGGACCCACCAGCTGGGCCCCCACGAGCCTCACGCTCCGTTCCACAGGCTTATGCTCTCATCCCTTCCACCATGTTGTACGTCCTGTCCAAACTATTCAAGTCCTGTCTTCTGACTTTAAGACCTGACTCAAATGCTCCCTACTCCGTAAAACCTTCCCAATTCTTCCACAGTGGAAGAAGTAACATTTCCCTTCTTTGAAACTTCATAGCATTTTACTGATAAATTTTTGGGGAAAGATAAAGTGCCTTATTTTGCCTCATTTGTGTGCTTGCTTTGTTTATAACTCCCCTAGCCCCTAAACTCCCTTAGCTCACAGACCATGGCCTCTTCATCTTTATATCCCCCTTGGTACCCCCCACCAAGTCCCCAGCACACTGCCTAGCCCAGGGAGTATCCATTTATTCACAGGGGTCTGTTGAGACTCTACTGGGTGTCAGAAAGCAGGATAGATGCTGGAGAATGAATACTTCTTAAACTGACGAGAACTACACAAGCTTTACGTCAGTGCACGCATCTGACGACAAAGACGAGACATCAGGCTCCGTGGCACTCAGGGTTTGTAACCCATCCTACCCACTGGAAAAGCATTGCCTCCTCCTGCATTTCAACAACTAACTAGCACTTTGTCTTTTTAAGAAGCAACCAGCCCAACATTTATTTTCAATCATCCTAAAAATAAACAGCCTGTCAGTCTTACAATCAGTCACCTCCATCCAAGACGGTGGCACACATTATCGGTCATGTATCTCTCTCAGACAGTTCAAAGAGAAAGGCAGCAGAAGGTCGTTTCTTCTCAGAACCACCCCCCTTCCCATCAACCCCCAAAGCCGGTCACAATACTCCAAATCTACAACTCCAAAGCTGTGATGGCCTCAGGCAGCTTCTTCGCCTCAACCTCCCTGTACTTCAAGCACCTCTTGGCATCAGTAACTTCCTTACTTTTCAAGGTATTTTTTTTAAAAAAAAATCTCAAGCAATGATTCTTTGGTCACATGACGGAAGAGTCCTAATTCTACCTCCTCAGCCCCTCAATTTCCCAAATTCCCATTACTTCCTCGAATGCCGATGAGGTTCTGGATGGACGTTTGACAGATACACCAGTAAATTCATCTACTTTCTAGTCTTTTGTAAATCAGAGCAATGCCTCCAAAATAGGCACTTTTCGAAAAGGCCCGTATTTGCCAAGTCTAATGTTAAGCAATCTCGTGCTCTTGACCCCCTTTGACAGACGGGGGGACTGAGGCCCGAGGTAACCTAAGCAGCTAAGCAGCAGGTGCGAAGCCCGAGCGGGGCTCTCGGACTCCTCCACGCCTCTGCTGCTCCAGCTTCGCTGCTTCCACCACGACACCTCCCTCCCTCCCGACCACTAGCTGCGAGCACGCAGCAGCACTTACTTGTGCCTGAAAGCAGAAACAAAGGAGCAATACTGGCAGCCGTACTTGTCCTCGCGGGTAAACATGGCCAGGGCCAGATGGCTCCTCTCATGAGAACGCAGCCCCTGCATGGACATCAGGACTCTGTCACATTGACTACAATGGTATCCCCCCGGCCGGGTTTCATCCTCCAACATTCCATCAAGCAAGCAGTGTTCACCATCCACCCGGTCCACCAGGGCGCCACTGGCATCTTTGGCTGCTTCCAGTCCATCCAAGAACAAGTGGGAAGGGTCTTCAGCCTCCTGCTAAGAGAACCACACACACACACATGCCCCACCAACAAAATAAATATCCATCATCATCGTCTCCAGCTCTCCTCCTCTCCCTTCATTCTCCCAAACTCATCAGCATCTCCTGCTCAAGCTTCCTCCCCTGCCTCTCAGGCTCCCCCTAGAGGGAGGGCAAACCCGCCTGCCATTCGTCAGGCAGTGCTGGTGTTTTGAGGGCATGTCCAGGCTCAGGCTGCTACTGCCCGGGGAAACACGAGAGCGGGGCTTTCCCACTGTGAAGACCGTTCACTCACTTGGCTCCCATCTTAGAAAGCACATTCACACTGCCATCCCACCTGAGCTGACATAAAGCAGGGTTAGGGTTATGGCTCAGAGAAAAGGAAGGAAGGAAGGAAGGAAGGAAGGAAGAGGGAAAAAAAAAAAAAAAAAGTGGAGAAGTTTGGGCACCTAGGAGCCGTGGGCCATCCTTGGGAAATGAAGGAATGGGAAGGACCCTGCCCTTCGCCACCTAGGCTCCTCCCCACTCTGCATGTGGTAACTTCACCCATCGTTCGGGAGGCTGCCGTATGATCGACTGAAAAACTTAAGGAGCAGCCTGGGCTTAAGACACCCGTGTTTGGAGGTGACTCCTTAGGTTACTGATTACACACGAAGAGCTGCCCCGTTTCCCTTGAGCGATTCCAGGAAACAAGCCTGGGACACACCACGGGGGCGTGGAAGGGGCCGACCGGCGCTGTCCCTGGGGGCCACTGTGCTGCTGAGAGCCAGAGGGGCTTCAGTCTTAGTGAAGGAAAGCAGAGACTTTACGTCCATGTTACGTGGGCACAACAGGACACCAGATCGAGAAGGGCTGGTGACAAAAACGTATTCACGTAGCTAGAGACAAAGAGCTGAGCCCTGAACTAAGTTCTCTGCCCAAAAATCAGAGCTTAGCCATATCCTGGAAGGCAGGGATGGTGGCTCGGTCACTGAAACTGCGGCTGCTGAGGGGATTCCGATGTTCATGTTCAAAACAGGCGGCCCAACAGAAGTCAGGGGCAGGAGGGAAGGCACTGGTCAGCGACATACGGGGAAAAGGGGACGAAAGAGCCAAATCAGGTCAAGGGGTTCTTGGGGCCCTACTGTGACCGGGAGGCTTGTAGTGTTAGATTTCACGTGTCTTACGCTCCTCAGAGGACCCAGGCTAAGAAGTAAAAGATTCTCCTGGGCTCTCTGCAGCGTCAGCCAGATGAGAACAGTTAAGAAGTCAGGCAGCGGGAGGAGCAGAAGAAGATGATGGGAGCAGGACCCACTTGATTCCTCTCAAGAGCTCGAGCAACTTGGAAGAGCAAACACCTAATGGCACTAAATGCAGAACAGAAGGGCGACCCAAAGCCTCCTGTACCGAGAGGCCCGGATCTTCCGTTTCCACCAAACTATCCGCGTGGAAGGGAACCAGATCGAAACGCGACCAGGTCGAGACACGAAAGATGAGAAGAGGGTCCAACCTGCAAAAAAATCAAAACAAGCCAGACCGATCCAAGCACAGCTCAGGAATGCCCACATTCTGGGACGCCCTTTCCTGAGCTGCTTTGAGCAACGGGGGTTAATCAGTAACTCCAATGGCTCACACACAAGAATGCTCATCCAGACCTCCCCCCTCCCCGGTCCTCACCTTCACGGCGGCGGACACCGCCGGGACGCTGCCGTACTGGACGTGCTTTCGGAGGTGGTTGCAGATGGCTCGGAGCGTCGGGTGCACTTCCACACAGAATTTACACTTGTAGCCCACCACCTTCCTCTCCTTGATCTTTGGCACCTCTTCTAAGTGACCAAAAGGCTGGTAAAATACAGTGGTAGCCATCAGTACTCCGAGCCCTCCCTCGCACGCCGGCATTTACGCTCGTAGCTTACTAGCAGATTTTATTTCAAGGCGGATTAGCAGGTTAAAAACCAAGGGAGAGCTATGTGAGTATTTTTACAGAACGAATTCGTCAGAGCCGTGGCACGCTGCCTACTAGGCAAAAGTCTCCGGAACCCAAATGTGTTACGACTTGTGAGGAGAGAAGATTTCTGTGGAGAAGCCTCATCGTCACGGCCACCGGGTCGTGTGGTTTTCAAACCAACGTCAACTACGCAGGTGAAACGTTGCATAGCTACGCCATTAGTGAACGTCTTGACCAAAAAAGTTAAAAAAAAAATAAAAAATAAAAAATTAAAAAAAAAAAATAACCTACTCCTGGAGATGTTAAGGTTCACGTAGCAGACACTGCAGACCAGAATCACGGCTGAGAGGTGCCGGTGACACCGAGAGACGGCCCACAGCTGCTTTAGAAAGAGAGCGAGCGTTGTCGTGTAACTAGGCCTTGGATAAGGCTACTTGGCAGAAGGAGATCCAGAGAAACCACCACCCCGGCCCTCCCCTGGGGAGCCCTGGGAGGAGCGGGAGGGAGGGGAGCGGGGCCGTGGGGGAGGGGGAGCAGAGACCGGGGGATAATCAAGCTCGAAATGTTTAATTGACTTATTGAGCTCTCTGGCAAGCTAAGTCACTAGGAAGCCTGTAGCAGTTTGGCTGGCAACGAAGAAGTGCGTGTGGGCACCAGTGATGAGAGGCCTCCTGGGGGAAGGGAAATCAAAACATATCCTTACCCTCTCTTGTTTGAAATCTGCAAAAGCACCATCTGCATATTTCTGCTTGCTCAAAAGCTGTTTCCTCCTCTCCTGACGTTTGGCACGCTTCTGGAATTCCTCATTGTGAATGTTCAAGTGTGAGGTCAGCTCCGCCGTGCTTTGCAGTTTGCTATCACAGTGCTTACACTGGTAGGCGGGGTTCGGCAAGCGGGGGCCGCCGCCCAGGATGACGAAGTCCCTCTTCAGGTCCCGGCTGTGGTGGTCAGTGTAGTGCATGCACAGCAGCTCGGCCGTGCTGAAGGACAGCTTGAAGCACTTGATGCAGCGGAACGGGAGCCACTCCATCTCCGGGGCTTCGCTTCCCTCCACCTCGGCGGCTTTCTCGAAGCTGCCTCTCTCCTCCTCTTCCATCAGCACTGGCTTCTCGTGCTCGTCCGCGTAGACGGCCGTGAAGTAGCCGCCCAGCTTGCTGGCGTGCTGCTTCTTCGGGAACACCCCCGGGTGGCGCTTCATGTAGTGGGACACGATGCCCTTCTTGCTGAAGGACTGGAAGGAGCACAGCGAGCACTTCTTCTTCTCGACGGCCCGCCGGAGCTCCTCGCTGAGCTGCGGGGAGTCGTCCTTGGGCGGGGACGGGATGATCACCTTGTTGGGCTTGTCGCTGATGGTCCGGGAGGCGGCCAGGCAGTGTGTGTAGTACGCGTCAATGTCGTGGCGCTTCTGGTAGTGGGCCGCCAGCCCTTTGCGGATGGGGTTGGTGTAGGCGCACAGGGCGCACTTGAAGAGGTTGTTCTTGCCCTCCGGCTGGGCGCGCACGTTGTTGTGCTTGATGCGGTAGTGCCTGGCGATGCCCTTCCGCGTGGAGCAGAAGTATTTGCACAGCTGGCACCGGAATACCGTGTGGGAGACCAGGTGCGAGGCAGAGAAGTGAGACGTGGACACGGGCTCCTCTCCCACCTCCTCCTCGGTAACGGAGACCTGGGAGGGGCTCCCGTCCGTGGTCACCTCGGGCTCGAGGGAGACCGGCAGCTTCGGGGGCGACGGGGAAAAGACATCGAACTCGGGCTGATTGTGATACTTCTCGTAGTGGATTTTGAGCTTCTCCAGAGTGCCGTGCGTGTACGGACACAGTTTGCAACGGTAGGCGCCGTAGCCTTGCTTGAAGATCCTGCTCGTCTCCTCCACGTCGTTCTGCGCCATGTCAGCCGGCTGCTCCACGTCGTGCACAAAGTCCTCGGCGGTCACCTTGATGGCCGGGTGTCGCTTCTGGTAGTGGGTCAGGACGCCGTGGATGCGGGTGTTGATGTATGGGCAATGCCGACATTTGTAGACGGCGCCTGGGTTAATGTCGATGTCCTGGGCGAAGTCGGCCGCCTTCACCTTCATGCCGGGGTGCTTCTTCCCGTAGTGCGTGAGGAGGCCGTGCAGGTTGTTATACTCAGACTGGCACACGGTGCACTGGTAGGGGGTGGACGATATGGCCGGGTTGGCCGAAGCCAGCTGCATGCTTTTCTCTGGGGAAAGCCTCGCGTCGTCCGGGCACTCGGCGTCCTGCTCGGGGAGCGGCGGGGGCAAACTGTTTTCACGGTGCCCAGGACCCACCAGCTCTTCGGCGGAGGGGGGGAGGGGATTCTCAACGGCGTCTTTCTCCTTGATGATATCCAGCAGCACCGACTCATCACCGTTCATGGCCCAGGGGTGGAAGGCCTGGTAGTGATTGGTGATGTCCCAGATGGACACGGCTTCAAAGACACAGTCTCTGCATCTGTACGTCTTCGCTTCCGCGGGCATCGCCAGAGAGGGAGGGGACGGGTCTGGCCCAGCCCAGAGTTTGGTGGCCATGTAAGTGTAGTCGACGTAATGCTCCGGGTGCCTCCTTTGGTAATGCAGGAGCAGACCGTTGGGCTCTGTGTGGGAGTAGATGCACCACTCGCAGTGGTAGCCAGCTTCTATCAAGCCATCGAGAAACGCCCACCGCATGATGGACGTGACCGTGGCCTTCAGGGCAGGGTGGTCTTTCTTGATATGCTTCCTCAGTGCATAGAAGTAGGGGGAGGTATACGAGCACTGCCTACACTTGAGCGCTCGCAGTGTAGCTTTGTCCCGCTCCACGCTGGAGGGGGCGACGAGCACACAGCCCGCAGGCTTCCTCTGGTTCCGGTCACAGAGGCTTCGGATGGTGGCCGTGTGCTGCCGGATCACATCTGCATTGGCCTTGAAGTCCCGGTGCTTCTTCTGATAGTGAATGAGGACACCTTTGACCGTCCGGTTCCCGTAATCACAGTGCTGGCAAAAGAACATCTCGTTCTCCACAGGAGGGCCGTCTCGCTCAGAGCTGCCACGGTTCAGCTGCTGCATGGGGGCGGGTGGCCGAGGGGAGCCTTGGGGCCCCTCGGACCCTCTCATCATTGCAGCTGTGGGAGGAGCCTGTCTGATATATTTGGCAGTGACCTTTATTTCTGGGTGTCTTTTCTGGTAGTGGACAAGCACTCCCACAACTGACCGATTGCTGTAGGAACAGTGTTTGCAGTAGTAAAGCTCAGTACTGAGGTCTGGTGGCGGGGGTTGTGGGGGGGGTGGGGAACCCATGTTGGACATTTTGGGAGACATTGGAGCACCCACCTCAAATGATAATTGAGAAAGGGCAGAGCCCCTGTCCACAGACACCATTCGCATGGTTTTCTGGATCCTAAAGTAGGAAGCCTTTTCTTCCGGGTGTTTCTTCTGATAATGAACCAAGACAGAATGCATGTTGGGGCTTGCGAACGAGCAAACGTCACAATCGTAAACGACAACGGTGTTAACCGAGGGGTCCTTCTGATTTTCACATTCTGGAGTAAAGGTCTTCGAAGGAGTGTTTTTATTAAACGTAGCTGGCAGACTGCCCCCGCGAGCCACGGGAGTGGAAGTCGCCATGCTCTTGGGGGCCGAATTCAGAATCTCCCTCAGTGTCTGGGATTCCGTATTCAGCCCTTCCTGCTGCTCCACGACATAGCTGGAGAATATCATTGCGTTGTTAATCTTGACCGTGGGATGCATTCTTTGGTAATGTGGCATCAGGCTTCGGACGTTCGGGCTCGTGTAGGAACAAAACCGACACCGGTAGATCAGGTCCGAATGGTCAAAGTTGAGTACGTTCATGGCTTCCGGGTGGTGTTCACCGTAATGCTGCTGCAGGTCTTCAAAGTTGGTGTAGTCGATGTAGCATTCCAGGCACCTGTATACGGCACTGTGATCGTTGGGGTCCAAGATGTACCTAAAGCTGAACTTGATGTATGGGTGCATCCGCTGGTAGTGGGTGCTGACACTCCGGGCAGATTTGTTGTTAAAGTCACAGTGTTTGCAATAGTAAAGCCTTCCGGAGTCACCAAAGTCTGTGTTCTCGTTATTGTGCTCTGTTCCATAGATGGGAGTCTGGGTGTTCAGCAGAGCGGTACTGGAAACCTGGTGATCTTTCAGGTTTGTCGAGGAGCCGTAATAGTCCTCTTCGTCTTCAGAAAGGGTGAGCTCAATCTCAGCCCCGTTGGTGGCATTGTAGTCGTGGGCGACGCTTCTGAAGCTGGGCTCCTTCTGGGGCTCCCCGGCGTCTCTCGCCCAAATCTGTTGGGCCGAGAAGGACGTGGACACCTCCATGACCGGCTCCGTCGGCTCTTCCTCCCTGTCCAACTCAACCTCTATCTCCACTTCGTTGTCTTCCTCTTCTTCCTCGTCGTCCTCCACATTGATCACCGCGTCCTCCTGCTGTTTTGTTTGGTTGATTTTGCTCTGCAGGTTGCTTGCTATCTCGTCGATCCTCGTTCTCTTCTTCACGGGCGATAAATCTAGGGGAAAGTCGTTAGCGAGCTTCCTGGAGGCCTTGGCTATAAAATTGTTCTTGGAGGACAACCCAAGAATTGAGGTCTGACTTTTCTTCACAGTGTTGCTGGAAGAGGGGTGGCTGTCCGTCTCACTCTCCAACGGCAGGCTTGAGGGCTGCCCCTCGAATTTTGGCAAGTTGTCGCAGAACGAGTGTTTGTGCTGCTGATGGACCCGTAGCCCTTTCAGAGTCGTGGTGGAGTAATTACACATGGTGCATTTGTAAGGGTGCGGGGGCGGGGCTTGCACGGGCGGCGGGG